GATTCAGAAGGTGTGGCCTCAAGTCAGTGGCAAGAAGCGCGCATTAACAGTTGAGCTGCTGGCACAAGGAGACCTGCTCCAACAACTGACAGGAACTACACTCGTTCAGAAGCTTGAGTACAATTAGAGCTCTTTTATAAATATTTCATTCATATTCATCAGTAAGGCCATTTTTGTCTTCATTTCCTTCCACTTCCGCAGGGCTACGAGAGCTCTTGAGCTTAAACAGAACAGGGAGAAAGCAATTCATTCTGCTTATGTCAGTGTGAAAGAGGAGCATGTCAGGAGGCTGGAGAGCTCTTGACTCCTCTGCTCAAATGCTCTCCTGTGGGCCACACGTTTTTAAACAAATGAACGAAAGATGAAATGCAAATTGTATGGAAAACATGTCCTGGAAAATAAATGTTGTGCTGTTCACAGCTATTGATGGGACTGGAAAGGTGTAGAACTGGTTTTACTGCTAACACAGTTGAGCTTTTTACCCCCATTTCCCACCGAGCAAATGGGCGGTGTCTCCATGCAGGACACTATGCACAGAGCTAAGAGTTTAACACCAGCTTATGTTCTCTGCAGGAATCATAAAAGACAAGGGTCTTCCTGCCTATAACATAGTATTGTTTAAGTTTTGGAGTAGGTTATGTTTTACACTGACTCTGGACATATATTCAGAAGCTGTTAATGCAATTAATATAAAAGGTCTTTTTTTAATGTGGTAACACCACTGACATACAAATTACTTTTTGTAAGTTATTAGAAAAAAATATTAGTCCAGTATAATATATTATACCATTTTTTTTAAATTCATTCAATAATTTTTAATTAAATTAATAAGAACTATTTAATTAATTGTTAATTATTGTAAGATACTATATTTTTTATAGTATACTTTACTATATTATATTGTACATATTCATTTTATGATCAAGTACTGTATACTTTTCTGAATTACATGAATTTCTATAGGAATTGTTTATGTTGTTTTTTTGCCATCTAAAAGAAGTGGCAGCATATTCCCTCAAAACTCAAATGCTTTTAGTTATGATTTTCTTTTTGTATTCTATTGTTCCAGGTTAGTTGTGATATGGTATTTTGCATACAGTACATGGTAAATTAGATTAACTTATTAGGAAATAAACTCTTTATCATGGAAACAAACAGTCTTGTTGCTTTTAAAAAGTTCAGCGACATGGTGTAGTCCAACACACTTTAACCCCCCAGGGTTTTACTGCTGTACTTCTCCACCTGTGACCTGGTCATCACCCACAGCATTCTTCCCAAAACAGCCTGTCGCTTCTGACCTTCCTCGTCTGCACTTTGTCACCTTGGCTGCTCAAGAATCCTGATTATTCAGGCCGTATGGTTTGTTCACCCTTGCAGTGAGGAAAACATCCACCCAAGAACACATGAATATGATTCATTAGAGCTGTTTGAAATGTGAAGGATCACTTTTATAGAAATTAACCATTACATTTCAGGGAAGCCTTTTTCTAGGTTGATTTCCCCAAAAAGTTTAACACACTGTGGCGCTATCAAAGCTGAAGGTTGCGGGTTCGACTCTCAATACTGGCAGGAAATGACTGAGGTGCCCTTGAGCAAGGCACCGAACCCCCAAGACTGCTCCGGGTGTGTGTGTCCACAGTTTGCAGTGTAGGCGTGTTCACTACTCACTACTCCTAATATGTGTGCCCTAACTTGGATGGGTTAAATGCAGAGGACAAATTCCGAGTGTACCATACTTGGCCTTCACATGTTACTTTCACTTAAATTACCAATGCGATATGAGGAGGAGTGTTCAGGGAACCTGTTTGAAAGCAGTCATTGTTTTTGCAATTCAAAAGAAAGAACACACTTCAGCTTTAACTTAGAGATGGTTTGTAGTTCCATTCAGTCATATATTTGACAATAGTGATAAGATGGGAGAAGACTGACTTGGAAGTACAATGATAGACTATAAACAAACAATAATTAGTTCACATACTGTGCTCTGATCCAGCATGCATGCGTACAGATTCCCGATGCATGAAATGGAATACTTGTTCCATTTTTCCTTTTTCATTAAGCAGAGATCTAAAGCACAATGCTAGAGTAGTGCAGAGGGTTTAGAGAGGCCACGGTGGGGCCACCCCAGTTTTTGGCTCCAGCTTATTCTGCGCTGTTTGGCAGTCAGCCTGCTGTTTCACAGCTGTCTAGATCTCCAGAGTTTCCACATCACTGCACTGACTGAGCCAGAAGCATCCAGGCATCCAGCACAAAGTCTGAGCACATAAACCTGCTATGTCGGATCGTAACCAGAACCTTTTTAATTGTAAACTAAGCATAGAGGTGATGGGTGTAACTTTTTGAAAAGCCATTCATAGGTTGATTTCCTCGAAAAGTTTGAGCTGCCCAACATTGCAACATTTGGTATGATTTTGGAATGTTTGTTAGACCAATGGTAGACAGCAGTTCCATTTGGTGATACTACTAAATTACACACTTCATCTTTAACGCACTGCAGCAGTATTTTATTTTATTATTTAAGTATTTTATTATGACATTTATGGCACCTAGCAATGTCCTAACATGCTGTAACTTTTCTAAAGACCTAAAGTCTTTTTTAAAGACCTAATGATAAATACACATTTTACTGCTTTCATTTTTTTTATTACATCCATCTGTGCTCTGATATTTTTGTCAACAAAAGTACACTCATCTAAAATGTCCAAGACAGGCAGAGAAAAACCAGTTTTCACCTGCATTGCTTTTCTTTGTAATGTTTTGTACAGCATAAATGTGGGCTATGGGTAAAAGCAACTCATAGGCATTTCTCTTGGCAATGCTTTCAGAGGTTTCTTAGTTGTATTTCTGCTGTCTTTAATTGAACAATGGCACTTCATAACCCATAGTGGATTTAAATATAGCATGAGCAAAGTTTGCCTGCTCTGTAATCACTGCAGAATATGACAGTTGAGCGACAAAAGAGGAATGCATTGAATGGAGGAGTGCATGCTTGGAAACTCTTCCTTCTAGAATAGAATTTTGCATTGTTAGTTACGATTCCAGTTTTCAGAATTTTGGCACCAGAGTAAGCGTAAAAGATGCATTCCTGATGCTTTAAGTTGTAAATGAGCCCAATAATTGATTGAGACTGTGACAAGATTTGTTTTCCCATGACAAATCCTATACAGTACTTTGTACAGGCATTGTACAGCCATGGATGATAAAGGCATGTCAAGGGTTGCTATAGATATAGATGTTAACTTGAGTAAGTAGAATATATTTTGAGTAATTGTAATGCAAAAAAAAACCAAAATTCTAAAAGCGTTAACATGGTTATTCTCGCATATTTGGTTATTTAATTGACCTCACTTAAAAATTGTGTAGAATCTTAAATATTTCTTCATTACTTTACATCATATTATAAAATTTTGAAGTTTGGAATCTCACTGTACATTTTTACAATTTACTATATTGTAATACTAGTGCTGGTGATTAATATTCCTCTTAATTAGGAAACAAACATCAAAGTTTGTCTACAAAACGTATATAGTTTGAATAGTTCATATATTTTCCCGTTTAAAATCAGATAAAAAGATATTTGGTCAACTTTATTTTTAATAAAGCAAAAAATACATACACAATATATTACAATACAGACAATAGATTTATATACAATGCGCAGCCATTCACCCAGTGAGACCCTGGGTACATAAGTGGAGGGAGGATTATAGCACCACATACAGAGTGTATCACGTACATATAAAGACAAAAAAACCCCACAAAAAAACAACTTGAGCGAATTCTTTTTTTTTTGTTGATCTGAGATTTACGTTAGTTGATCACGGTTAAGGTGTTTGAGGGGAAATGGGTTTTCAAACCATGTTGTGCATGAGTGTGGATAGTATATGCCTATGTGTATGTATGAAGTGATAGCTGCAGTAACGGAAGGGGGGAGGTATGTGTCTGGTAATTTACACGGCTTATAGTTATGTTTGTGTGATATTAAGAAATGTCAAAAATGTCAAAAAAAGGGGACCAGGTGTCTTCTAAGGCTGATATCATGCTTCCTTCTGTGTGCATTGTGTTTCTCCATTGAAATGTGTTCTGAGAATATTTGTGCTGTCATTTTTGTTAAGAAGCTGCATGTCCTGTAAAGGCAACAGCTGTTTACAGAAAGGAAAATTGTTTTTTTTAAGCACTGCTGTCCTGTTAGAGATGAAGACAATCAGCCAAGTCTTATGGAGTTACTCAGAGTCAACCCATAAAGTCAACTTAGATCTCATACACATACTCAGGAAGGGAGGAGCACACAGGAAATGAAAAGACACAAATATTTGCAGATGGCTGCAGATGGCAAAAAACAATGCTTTATATCAATATAGCCCTGTTACATAATAAATATGCACAGTGGAACTACAAATATATATACATGTAGCTACACTGTTCTTGTCTGTTGACGTACTTATAGGCATTGTAGTAATTTTATATCTGGAGAACCATCTGGATGGACGTCCACAGAAGCAGCTACTCAGAAGAACAAGGGAGAGGTAGCTGAGTATTCAGTGGCTGAATTTGGGGGCGAAGCCGTTGGATTTAACAGTTTCCTATGTGAGTAAATCTCCTTGCTCCACTCTTCCTGCCGCTGGCCTCATTCTCAGTTCCCGCCAGGAACAGGCTAAGACTTTCCTCTGCACTCTTGGTCTTCTTTAACACCACAGAGAACCACATATAGACACACATAAACCACCAACCAAATCTGTCACACTCTATTTCGAGAGAATGAGAGGAAAAATAGATGCACGAGACATTTTGAGCTGGCTGTTTTAAGACAAATGACATGTGATGTTGACTTCTGAAGTCTTAAACCTTGTACAGATTCAAAAGGAAGCATTCCACAAAGAATTTAGTACATAATGTCTAATGTCAACACCTAATGCTTCCAGAAAAGCTTCCCCTCCCTCCCTTCCTCAGCACAGCATGTATTGAGTTCCAGACCACACCCAACCAGAGTTCTGGGCAGTTCAGGATTTTGGAGAGGAGGAGCTTGCACTTTTTCCTCATTTCACTACTACTACATTTACTCTGCAGTCACGCTTGCATCACTTCGTCTCCACATCTGGCTACCCTTTCCAAACTATACAATATCGGACTCTTTTAGGCTTCTCTACAGCGGTGAGTGTGAATCATAAGTAACTTTTTCTGCATGCAAACAGTTTTTAGGTGAGTGACACAACTCTGAGAGAGGATCACAGCATCTCAGATGTCTAGAAAATACTGTCTGGAGTCAGTAGACAGTTGAATAATTGCTGTCTAAGAGGTTTGTGTATGTGTTTGAGAGTTTATAGCCTTTTAAACTGAAGAGAAGAGAGTTTGTGAGAAAAGGGGCGTTGGCGGTGATGCTTCACTGATGAATCACCAGCTTTTAGTTATTACTTAGACATGTTTTGTTTACTTGTAATCTTTTTATTATACTTTGAAGCAAGTTAGGAGAATCTAGATGGACTTCAGTTTTTACATCAGAAAAGAAAAACTATGTTTTGAAAAAAAAAAAAAAACGAAATTATCCAGCAGGCTACTTAAATCTTCAGCATTAGTTCTCATGTTTGGCGGCTGTGCATTTTAAAATCTCTCAGAGCGAAGAACCTATAACTTTGTCTCCTATATCGCCCCCTGGTGAAAGTATTTTATCTGTCAATATAGCAAATATTTAATAAACAAACATGTTCCAGTTAAAAGATGTTGTAGATGAAAAATAAATGTAGATGTTATAAAAAAAGATGAACATTAAATGTAGAGGGTGTGATGTTTTGTGCTTTACAAGACCAAGTGTTGTTCCTGAGGTGGTGCTATAACATGTTTCTCATGTCTGATTAATTTTGCATGTGTGGCATTTTATCTCACTCAGCTCAGTTTGTGCGAGATAGATAGTTGCAGTGCTTTCTCATTGGCACATTCCAGCATGTTGCTCGTGGGATTTTTGGGGTGTTGCTCGTGGGTTTTGGGGGTGGGGAGTGTGAAGTGTGTTCATGAGGTGCAGCCGTTTTCACTGGACTGGATTTCCGGATGCCCGTCTGCTCTGCTATTACAACACAAACACAGCCGCAGTGAGTGCTATAATTCAAACCAACCTATCAAAAGCCAAACCGCTCGAGGAAAGGATATATGCACAAGCCTTTAAAACACAGTATGATTTATAGTCTGGCCACCATGAAAACTCATATCCACCGTTATTTGAAACATATTTATCATTCTACACACAGTTTGTGTGGGAGTCCAACCTTTCCATACATCACCCACGCCACAACTCTGTTGTGGTGGCCATTTTGCACCAACTCCCCTGTTGAGAGTCTGTATTACATGATTGGATGACAAAGTGATGGCTTTTTTTTTTCTCCATGTATTAATTTTCCATGCTGCAAAAGTGAACGATTTTTCCAGTTGTTTCCAACCTCAGTTTCTTTTTCTCTTTTGTTTTGGGTCTCTGATTGATCTAACTGATGCCACTCAGAAATGTGCTGCTTGCAGGGCTTTCCACAGAATAGGTGGCGGGTTTTGTTTGAGGATGCGCTGTTTCATTACAATGCATGCTGTCAATGATTGGATCAGGAAATGCCTCTCCCTTTGGCTGAGCCTAAGCTCTGGATACTTTTTTTCCCTCACGACAAGCTCAGAATGACCGAGCTACAGTTGATTCTTCCATATAGTCATAGATTTGTTTGTAAGGGACTAAATCCCCCCCAAACAAATCATGTATCTTTTTTTTAAATCAAATTCGCAAAAGAGTTTAGCATGTAATGCCGGTAGTTAAATAAACTTTAGGGTTGAATCAATAACTGACTCAGAACACCATGTGAATAAACATCCATCTGAATATTAGCATATTCACAGTATTGCAAAACAAAATACAACTTTGTTGTAAACCATTGGACTGGGTATCTGTTTATATTTTCCTGATTTGATTCACTCTGTATGTTTTAGATTCACTCATAAGAGTAATTTGTTGGTGAATCATGCAAAATTAGTCTCAATGTTTCTGATTCATTTAAAAGAACCTCATAAGAGAATCACATTAGAGTAATTTGTTCATTAGACTACATTGGTCATGTTGAATGCTTATTTTTTTGTGCATAAAAAGACTTTCTGACATTATTTTGTGGTATGCAGTCTTTTTATGCATCACATTCAATACAGAGTGCAAACTAATTCATAATACTGGTAAATGTGTTGTACATTGTCCACATGCAAACATAATAAGCATTAGATCTTTCAAGGGATAGTTCAACCAAAAACCATTCATTTACTCACTCATTTACTCACCCTCATGTTGTTCCAAACCTGTATGAATTTCTTTCTTCTGCTGAACACAAAAGAAGATTTTTTGAAGAATGTTGGTAACCAGATGTTTGACGGTAGTAACTGACTTCCATAGTATTCTTTTTTCCTACTATGGAAGTCAACTGTCTGGTTGTAAGTGATGACAAAAGTTTCATTTTTGGGTGAACTATCCCTTTAAGGTACATGGAACTTAAAATGTGCCGCTACTCCTATGGTCATTTCATGTTCAAATGAAACTAACAACACATGATTCTGAACTTTAATTGAAGGGAGACTGTAACGGACTGAGAGATGTTCCAAACTCTTATTTCTTCAGCAAAACTATAACAAAGAATTACAAATAGCTTCATCTTGCCATGGACTACTATTGTGAGGATTCGGTAGATAGTATCAGATTATTGGAGAGTTCTCTGGAAAATAATGCGGTGAAATGAGAGAGAGAAAATGAAGCAGTCCTCTAAAGATGTTTCTATTGACTTGAGGCTTTGTAATCTTTATTTGTTTTCACCAATTACAGAAAGAATAACACTGAAACTCATTCCTCTCCAGTGATAGGTTGAATCCAGGGTCACTGTTTTTTCACTGACAAAGTGGCTTGGAAAATGTGTGAATCGTAAAACCAGTCTGAGTCTTTGAGTCTGGGATGTTATGATGTGTTTGAATGTTTTCGGGATTGAGACAATGAGTTGCACATGTGTTGCTGTGAATTTTGGTAGCCAAGTGTGCACAGGGGTGACATTTCTTAAGCTTAAAGATGCGTTAGCATATGAAAATACCTTATGAGATACCAGCCTTACCAGAGACCCAGACCAGTTTCAAACACAAGAACAGTGCCATGTTTAGCAATAAACAGTCACATTCCATACTAATGTAAGAGAGGAGAAAGGAAGAGACATATATCTCCTTTACAGACATGTATTTAGATATGAGAGGGGGATTTGATCATATGGGTGTGTCTGTATTGTCATGCCTTAAAGGTAGTGTTTTACCAGTCAATTTTCAGTCAGAAATGGCATTTAATAGAATTTGGAGAATCAAAGGGAGGGTGCCTGAGTAAAGCAGTAATGTTCATGTTAATGCCAATAATCAATAGCCTATACTTAAACCTATAATATTTTTCTAAGGAAACATTAAAACCAATGTCAATTCAATGTCTAATCAATTTTGTGAGTTTAAGTAGGCTACTGTCAGTAAAAGTATAGTGTGAATTCTGGATTTTGAGATGATATTGTGAGAAAAAATGTATATTAATAGAGTAATAGTGAATATTTCTTATTAATACTGTGATGTTTCTTAGATTTCAATGTGTTTTTAGACTCCTGGATAATCTAGCAGTGTGTGTCACACTTTTGTTCAAAAGTTTAGGGTCAGTAAGATTTATTTGGAAAGAATGTGTAATGATGCTGAAAATTCAGCGTTGACATCACAGGAATAAATTACATTTTAAAATATATTCTATTAAAGCATATCAAATATTTTAAATTTATATTTCACAGTATAATTTTTTTCTTCAGGATTGAGCATAAAAGACATCTTTAAAAACATTTAAAAAAAATCTTACAGATCCCAGAGTTTTGAACGGTAGTGTTTATGACCTTAGTCAGTCTGATTTTATTGAGCATTGGCCTCAAAACTCTTCTCTTGTCTGTAGTTTAGCACTCTTAAGATTTAAAACTTGCTGCTTTAAGTGCACAGGAAGCAACAAGAAGCTCTTTGGGAGTAACAAGAGTCCTCTCTTCATCCCTGCTGAAAGATCAAAGGAGCTGAGAATCTGGACAGTGTGTAAATGCATTAATCATGGCCGTCCTGATTCTCAGGGAGAGAGGTTGTCTGGATGTAGCCGCTGGGTTTCGGCAGCGTGTCTTTTGACAGATCCATGTGGGAGCCGTTACTCACGCTGGCGGCGTGTCATCAGTGGAATGCGATGTGAAAACACAGCCTGCGGCACCTGAGTGCCATTGATCTGTGGTAGAGCCACAGCAATGAAGATAAAAGCCTATCAGCTCCCAGTGCAGACTTTCAACCCAGCAGGCCACGCCGAGAGCCGAACGGGACCCTACCGTGTGTGAATGAGGTTCCTCCTGAGATCAGCTGTAGCAGGAACACATGTGCCTTGCCAAAATACACTCCTTTTACAAAATGAGGAATCTCTTGTGCCAAAACTGCCCGGTGTTGAAATATCAGTGGAGAAGCAGGGTTGTTTATAGAGACCTTAAGGCTTCGTAAAAGTTGTGTTCTCACTGTGCACATCATTTTTGCTGGGAGTTTGTTTTGCTTTTTCCTTTCCGTTTTTGTGTGTGTCCAAAAGTACTTGTGGGTGGGGCTTAATATGCTTTATAGACGATACCCAAAACCAAGCTTTGTTTGTTCAGTACATTTAACTTCATTTCAGGCAGCCTTCCAAAGGCAGCAATTCTGGCTTTTGTGTTTTCTCCAAAAATAAGCCTTGTGTTCCCATTATATTTCACAAGCTTCAGTGGTGCAACAGGGGTTGAACAGTAAGGAAAAGATAATCAGAGATGTCAGTAACAGATATGATTCTTGGCGTGTGTTCAGAGCTGCATAATTTCAATTTCTGCGACATATGTAAGGTGTAGTTGTTAATTTGAGGAGCTATTTCTATCTGAACTGACTCAAAAATGACTTGTTTGTTTTAAGTGTGGTTTGGTGTAGTGAGTTTGATTCAGGAATATTGAATAACATGTTTGAATTAAACCAAAATATAAAAACAGGTCATTTGGAAATTCACCCTTTCTAAATGTTTCTTATTGATCTTATTGTGAACAATTGATTAATGCATACCATTTTTTAACATTTTAAGCAAAAGGTCATAACTT